TGCTGCTATCTATCCCTGGGGCTTATGTTGCTATTCCAGCCTGTACCTTCTGAGCATTTTTCTAGCCAGCAGTGTTCTTGGTGCTTTGCTGCAGAGAGGCTCTCTGATAAATATTTCTCTGACTGAACCTATCTCCCAGTGGGAGAAGAGCTATGCCCAAGGCACACTGGGTGGTGATATTAGGCTGGGTGTTACACTCAACTTCTAATTTAAGAAGAATTTGAATGTTTCCTAAGATGATATGTTGGCCAAACCTGGATTGAAAACTGCTGGTATCAAGAAGCAAACCTAATTATTCTAAACACCTCAGTTACTGGATTTCAACTGTTGGCCTTGTCCTTCAAATTGCTTTCCCTCATCTGGGTTTTCTTTCACCCCCTGTAGCTTGTCCCTATGAACTTTAAACATCATTTTTCTTTTCTTTCTGGTGTTTATTTTTTAGACAGGGTTTCACTATGTAATCCAGGAATCCCTGAATTTACTGCATAACTCAGACTGTCCTTGAACTCATGATCCTTCTGCCTCAGCCTCTTGAATGCTGGGGTTACAGGCATGGGCCAGTGAACCAAACTGAGACTCTGACCTCTTATTATTTGTGTAAATCGTTGTGTAACAGAATTGACTGTTTTTGGTGTACATTTTTACAAATTTTAACTCGTGTAGCTTTGTATCATCACCTCTACTACCAAGATATAGAACAGTTTCACCTTCCTCAGAAAAAAACTTTTCTGTGTTATCAGTCATAGTTATTTCCTTTCCACTCCCAGTCCCTGATAGCTACTACATAGTGATTCTTCATCACTATAGGTTTGTCTCTTGAGAATGTAATGTAAATAGAATTGTACATGTGTGGCCTTTTGAGACTTGCTTCTTCCACTTATGTAAAACTTTGATATTTATCCAAATTGTTGCATGTATCAGTAGTTTGTGTTTTGAAGTTGCTGCATATTGTACATGTAGATGGAAACGATCTTTCTCCACTGTGTGTTCCTGCTACCATGATGTACAGTGCTGCCACAGGCCTAAATCAACAGGTTAAGTGGCCATAGCCAAATAAATCTTTCCTCCTTATAAATTACTCATCTCAGGAGTTTTGTCACAGCAGTAAGCTGATGAAAATGATGACCAACTTCTTGGTAACCACTAATTATTTAAAGTGAACCTAGGAAAACAATCCTGTAGTCAGAGAGACACTTCACATATAGAAATAAAGAAATTCTCTAGGAATGAATCTACCTTCTGTTGATGATAAAATCTTCATAAATTATATGAAAGAGAATCCTATTGTCTAATAATATTCATAAAAAAGTTAGATATAGTAGCTCTTATCGGTCCATAACAATATATAGCAGGTCAGCTCCAAGCTTGTGAAGGTTAACCAAGATTTTCTTGGTATCTTTGGACCACCTCCCTTTGTTCTACCTTTTCATTCCCAAAGTTCTGCAACTCCTTGTTCCTAGATGTGGCTTAAAAAAGACAGGGGTTGTCTTAAGGGCAAGAGTCTGAATCTAGAGTCTTGAGACTGAGAGAAGTCTGGACAAGTAGATCTTTCCATGGTCCCATCGTCCAAGGTGAGGCATACTTGGAAATCAGGAAAGACATCCAAAAGTCAGAGAAGAAAAGTCTGGCCAAGACAGCATTGGGAAGAGGGTCCAAAACTGGTAGGAACATAAGGAAGAATTATATGTGAGCAGGAAAAATGGGACAATTTCACACTTAGTCTGTGAAAAGTAAGTTTTCAAAAATAATTTGCTTTTAGAAGATGAACTGATGGATCTAATTTTCTCTCCTACCACTGCTGGATAAGTTTCCATGGCTATCACTCATATAATCTTCACTATTTTTATGTCACTCTTGGACTTACTACCTCTTTAGATTCAGTTTTCTTCTTACTACCACCCTTTCCTCTCAAAATTGGAAAGAATTTGAAATAAACCATTAATATTTGTTGAGTTCAAATTTTACTGTCTGTATCATTGTGATGTCATTGCTTTTTTAAGTGTTTTAAAACTGCAAGTTGTGAAATAAAAGTTTTTTATCTGCTGTTAATAATCTCAGTAGGAACATGAGGATAAATATTTTATGGATAGGTAGGTAGGTAAGTAAGTAGACAGACAATCTCCAATTTTTAAGGGATTGCTTCTTTTTATAATTCTAAAAAACCAATTCCCTTCTTAAATTACTACTTAGTTTCCACTGAGGATCACTACAGTGTCTGTAAATCTGTTACTCACTGAGCAGGTTGGTCATGTGATCTGAGGTCTAATTTCCAGTTACCATCTGTTCAAGTCATATGTGCAATGAGTCTGAACACCAGTCATTCCTTACACACATCAGTTAGGCTGGCCTAACATGCCTGCCCCCTGCTTCTACTTCACCTTGTTAATCAAGTGCCTGCAGGAACTCCAACACCTCAGGTCTCTTAAAGCCTTTTAATTCCAAAAAGTTCCTGCTGAGAGGCAGCCAGTCAACAAATTGTTTTTAAAATAGATAATATCTGGTTATCTGAGTGAATAAACATAAACAGAAGTCCATAATCTTCAGCTTGTTTCATAAAAATGTCCAACAAATGGTAATTGTTAAGGGGCCAAGGATCAGGATCCTCAAACTAATTATTCTGTAAATATTTGTTCAACATTTATGAAGAAGGGCAAATAAAACATTTTTATTATTAAATTAATGTATAGCTCAGAATTACTCAGTTGTCTTCTCTAAACAAATCTCTCATCAGATGTTCAAAGCAAAATCCATATTGGGGGAAGGGTCACACGCATACCACAAACATCTATAGCCTTTATTGTACAGTTTGTGAGTTCATATTGCTTTTGTCAAATTAGACAACTGGTGGCAGAGCAGAGGGCATAAAAATAAATTAATTAATAGAGTCCAGAATGTTGTAACATGCTATGTATTATTTACTTTCAAAATTAACAGGGACTGCATATATACATTGACAAAATATTCAAGAGAGGGAGGTCACTTGTGAGGAAGATGTTTTCTCCCCATCAGAATTTATCTGCTTCTGTAGAACTGGGCCAATTTACCATTCTTTTCCTCTCCTAATTAAGTAAGGAGTTGAGTTAAATGCCACCAATGATTATTTAGTGTCCCTACTAGATTGTTTTTCCTGGATAGTTACCTGACAATATTGACCCATGACCTAGCTCTGGCTACATTTCTAGATTATGAAAGAGCCAAATCATGTGTAAGAGGAACAGATCACATGTATTTTGGCATGACTTTCATGGTGCCAAGGCTATATATAACTTTTTGTACTTAATTTATGAGAGTGGTGTAGGTGAGAGATGCCTATGCTGCTATTCTAGGTAGTATAAAGATTGCCCAAACATTCTTCTCTCCTAGATGGTGTATTTTGCATCTGTAGGATCAAAGTGACACCCAAGAGATAGGGACTAACAAATCTGAGTTATGAAATCAAGAGTGTGAGGAAGTGGAAACATTGCCAAGAGAGTAAAATGAGCACCATAGAAATTGTGCTTGGGGAATGGTATATGAGAAAAAGGGGTAAAGAGACTAGTGGACTGGGTCAGGTAGACGAGCACCTGAAGTAGAAAAGAAGAGTGAAAGAGTTGGGACAGATGGCTAATGACATAAAAGACTTTCTGATGTGGTTGTGCAAATGGATGTAAAGGTCCAGAGGAGAGGGATGCTGTGAAAATCCTAGGATTATGGAGTGAAGAACATTTGAGGTAGGGTGTTGAATTACTTAAGATAATGGTATGCTTAGTATGGAGAGAGAAAATGTAAACCAGATATATTCTTCAGTTTAATGTACTGGAGTTTTAAAAGCTTTTCCTTGAAAAATATGTAATGGAATTACATGATATCAGGTTTCTGACATAGAAAGACTGTTTTGACACTGATGGTAGGTCTCAGAACTCAGATGCTATCTTGAAATTTTAACCTTAACAAAAATCATACCTGAAAGCATCATTTAAAAAAAAATCACTGATGCACAACTAAAAATGTGAAGCTGAGCATTTTTGGCTGCTTCCTCCATTGTTTTGAAACCTAATGGTCTCTTCAATTGCCCAAGTAAATACTACCATTGATGCCAATCATTTCATTCCTCTGGCCTGACAGCACAATGGAAATTTGGGAACTTGTAAAAATAAATGACATGTCAGATACAAATCTGTCTACTAATATGTGTGAAGGAGATTGGAAGTGTGATTCAGTAATGTTTTGTTTAGGACTTTAACAAAACTCAAAGGTAATATAATAAAATTGTGTGATTGTTCCTGGAAGGTGAGCTTGTAAATGCTTGACTGAATAATGAATGAAAGGATTGATACTTGCAAAAGCAAAACAATAACAACAACAACAAAAAAAACTCAACAGATTTTGTCTCTTGTCTATGAAGTTTTATAGCTTTGTTTCTGAAAACTGATTTTGCTTGCAAAAGATAGGTTGGAAATTTAGGTATCCATTTTGGACTTAGGTATTAACATTGTAGCCTGTGGGAGAGTGATAACTGCCTCTTAGGTTGAAGACCTCAGACTTCATTGAAACTAGCTGGGAGGGCCTATGAAGCACATATTCTTTCTAACCTATCTTTATTGAATATCTGAAAGATATTTCTATCCTGAAATACTGTGTGCCATAAAGCTCACCACTACCAAATACCACAGCTCTTGATTCCCTTGCCAGAATACTAAATGAATAGCACAAAACATAATGGGAGAGTGGATGGGTGAGGTGAACCTCTTCCCTTGGTAGAACTTTGCATTTAGATATCTTAAATAATAGTGAGATTTTTATAGGTTGGGAAAAGATCAACTCATTTGCATGTATGGAATGCCCAGTACACAAAAATATGGCATATAGCAGCAACAACAACAACAACAACAAAGGTCAGGTATTCAATATGTGCTGCTGCTGGCCCTGTTTGGTATAAGGTAAAAGAATGACTTTTTTTTACCCTGCTCTTTACCTCTAAGTAAAGGCAACTAATTCTTACATATTTTTCTTTACTGCAGGACATTTGTGAAGATATTTCTGACCATGTTGAGCAAATCCATGCCCTCCTTGAAACAGAGTTCTCTCTCAAACTGCTGTCTTACTCTGTCAATGTGATTGTGGACATCCATGCTGTGCAACTCCTCTGGCACCAGCTTCGAGTCTCTGTGTTAGTTCTGAGAGAGCGCATTCTGCAAGGACTGCAGGACGCTAATGGCAACTACACCAGGCAGACTGACATTCTGCAAGCTTTCTCTGAAGAGACAAAGGAGGTGAGTGTTTTCTTTGAAGTCAAATTATAACATGTGAGGGTGTTTTCAATTTAGAGCTGCAAAATAGAAATTTGTTGTAAGTAAATAAGCAGCCCCTGAGCAGGGTTTTGAATCTAGGTATAGTGACTGGATGAGGCATTAATTAATTCATGCTTTGTTGTTTGCACAGATACTGTCTATAGTTGTTAGTGTTAACCTGCTTTCCTCTTGACCCTTCAAATATTTAATACCTATTTATTGAGCACTTCCTAGATATAAGTACTAGGTGCTAAGAATATAGTGGTAATCAAAACCTAGTCATTATCTTCAGGGAGCTTCAGGAATAGTGGTGAATGGAAACAAGCTTTAAGTTCAAACTGTGGTAAGTTGAAATGATGCAGTTGGAGGACAGAGGATGGTACACATAACTGACACAGGAATTCCAAAAAAAGTGAGATAACCTGATACCTGAGAGGCAAAATTGGACAAGGGAATAAGAGCAGAAAATGTTCTACACAGACAGAATGGCATGATCAGAGACTTAGAGGTAAAAGAGAGTGACAGGTTCAGAGGTAGGTTAGGACTGGATCAGAAACCTGAGGAACAGGCAAGAATTGGGCTAACAGGTAAGCAGAGGTAAGATTGTGAAGATAAAAAACTTTTAAAACCATAGTAAGAGAGTTGAATCTTATTTCAAGCACAAAAGAAGTGTTTGTTCATGTGTTAGCCATGATTAGATTCACACTTTAGAAAAATCATTTCAGATGCAGTGAATTAAATGAACTTTAGAATGTTATACAGATAATTTATTTTATTGTTAATGTTTATTGTTATTGTTATTCTTGATAAATAATTTCTAAAAGGAAATTATATTGCAGCATTCTAGGGAGACGAGTTAGGAAAGCTCTTGTGACAAATTCGCTGCTGGACCTGCAAGTCTTTGGGACTCAAAATCGACTTTACTCCCCTGTAACCCTGTGACAGTATGTTTTCAGTTAGCTCTCCCTGTTATTTTGGCAGTGGGGAGGTGATGCAGCAGTAGAGTAATCATAGGATAAATATATTTGGGTTATATGTTAGTTCCTAGAGCCATTCCCCTGCCACATTGAGGCCCTAGAGCAGTGTTGAAAACCTTTCAGAGACCAAGTGCCCAAACTGCAACCCAAAACCCTCTTATTTATCGTAAAGTTTCAACATTGCAATTACATATGAATACTGAGGTTTTAGTTTAGGAAAAACAACTCATATATCAAAAGAAAAACATAATAACAGAGCTTTCAGTGATATAGACACCTCACTGTGGCACAAATGCCACAGGTTTACTACCATTGCTAGAAGGCTCCATGGTTGTGGGATTGCAAAAAATCTTAAACTGACCAACTGTGCTCTAAATCTGCTATCCAAGAGGATATACACTGTAAGACTTAAGTCTCACTTTTACTCCTGGAGCATGAACAGCCAAGAGGCTTCCACGATGCTGGGCTCAGAAGCTCAGCGAGGCTCCAGGAGCTAGTCACACAGCGAGAGTCACCCAGGAAGGAACACACCAGGCAAGTTGGCAAATAGACCTTTATTAGTCTGGCCACACGGCACTCCCCAAGCCAAGTAGCTCAGAGAGGCGGCCAGCTCAGAAACAGAGGCCATTTTATATTGGGCTGAAGGGGGGTTTACACTTAAAACTTACAGGAAGAGGACAAAAGGCAAAGAGTCAGTTGATCTGAGCTAGTGGTCGTCACGTACTAATGATCAGCAGAGTGATTATCCATTGTTCCATTTACAACCTAGATCATCATAAAGTTCAGAACATTCAGACTACAGGCATGCAAGGAGTGGTGTGACCTGCGTTGGGTCTCTGTGTTCATTACAGTTTCCACCTAGTTTCCCAGCTACTCCAAAACAGCCACCTAACAATTCACAATTAATCATTAGTTATCCTATAAGGGATGGGGGGAGCGACAGTCTCTAGGTCATTCGCTGGTCAATATGGAGTCGCTCTGGTTCAGCCAGGCTCCCACAACACTAATGGAAATCAGAGATGAGGAGGGTTTGTATTCTAAAGAGATCTTTCTTTATACCTTCCCACTTGCTGTTGCTAGAAGGGGCATTAAAATCATTGATTCTTACCAATTCATTTTACACATTTCTTTGTTCTACAAATATTCATTGACCACCAGTTCTTTGCTATAGGAAGTGGTGATGTAGCAGTTCTGTAGGATTTACTACTATCATTATTATTATTGTTTTGCAGAATACATTTGTCACACACTTATTTGAATTTGTATCATTCATAAAGAGGCAGCTCAAGAAATGATGAAATGCCACTGAGGCTAACTATTTTCACAGCTGTGTAATGAGTTTCTGTTGAGTAGCATCCGTTAGGATTCTCACAATGTAAACTCAACAAGTATGGATTTGATTTAAAGCAGTTTAACGTGTTTATGTTTGAAGTCCGTCTTTACTATAGTAGAGATATAAGAATATATTATATGAAGGGCAGAGGAAGAGTGGATTTTCAGTCATCTGTTTTGTGGATATTTTATATGAATTGAAGTTCTGTCCCCATTATCATAGTTCCTGAAACTGGATTTCTGTTTGTTTTCTGTAATTCTAGTGTGACTCCATGAGAAATAAGACTGCTTAGTTTTATTTGTTTCTCCCAACACACCAGAGTTGTGGAAAACAGCAATAGGATTAGGATAAAATTCTCAACTGTGAAAAGATTTCAGCTGTGAAAAATTTGTAGAATGAAAAGTGAAATGGCAAGATAAAAGCACAGATAAACAAGAATAGTAGATGTCCTTCCACTGAAAGGGAATTCATTTTTCTATCTTCAGAAGTAAGCTAAACTTTGGGACAACATTAAGGAGTAAGTTTGAAGCCTGTGCAAGTAGCAAGTTCTCCTGTCTTTGAAAAAACAAAATATATTCATTTCAGCCTTTACTTAAATATGGATCAGACCATATCTAATACATAAGTTGAAAAATGCCTTACTGAAATAATTAAGCCAACCAACCAAATAAAAACACTTTAAGCACAGTTCAAAACTGTATAAAATATGTGTTGCAGTTTTCTATATTCAAGACACTGACATAGTACTTTATATTTGTTTCATGTAGTAGGAAGCTAAAGGGTATTAAGAATACTTTTATTTTATAGATGAAAACGTGAATTTAAGTGTGGTTAAGTAAATGATTAAAGAAGTGAATCTAGGAATAATTAGATACTTATTCTATTTTATTTTTCTCATTGAGTTTATTGGTACATTTTAGGTATACAGTACAGTTACATTCATTATTGGGATCTTGTACCTTTACATGACTGGTCTTGGTTCTCATTTTTTCCCCTTGCCCTGCCCTCCCTTCACCCCCTCCTCCCCTCTCCATTTACAAACACTTTATTTTCATTTTCTCATATTTTTTTCTTTTCCCTTATTACCTCTCCCTACCCTTCCCATTTTCCCTACACCTTTAGCCCGTTTCTTCCTCTTTCACATGGTCAATTATCTCATTAGGATGTTATGTGCTATTACAGTTTTTCACACCAGAGAAACTGTTTGGTATGTACACATGTGTGACTTACTTATTTCAATTAGGAGTACATCCTCAATATGTATCCATTTTCCTATAAATGAACCTAATTTCTTATTCTTTATGGCTGAGTAGTATTCCATTTAATAGAAAAACCATAGCTTCTTTATCCAGTTTCCAACTGATGGGCAAATGGGCTGTTTCCAAGTTTTAGCTATTACAAACTGTGCTGCTATAAACATAGGTGTGCATTTATCACTGTGATATGATTCTTTTAATTCTTTTGGAAAGATACCCAGCAGAGGGATGGCTGGATCAAATGGAACCTCTAGTCCCAGCTCTTTGAGGTATCTTCATATTGATTTCCATAGTGGTTGCACCAGTCTGCACTCCCACCAACAATGGAGAAGTGTTCCTTTCTCTCCGAAACCCTGCCAACATTTGTTATTGTTTGATTTGTTGATAGCAGCCATTCTTTGTGGGGTGAGGTGGAATCTCAGTGTTGTTTTCATCTGCATCTCTCAAATGACCAGTGATGTGGAACATTTTTTCATATATTTACTTGCTGCTTTTACTTCTTTGTCTGAGAAATGTCTGTTCATTTCAGATGCCCATTTTTGAATCAGGTCTTTATATTTGGGGGGCTGATTGTTTTGAGTACTTTATATATTCTAGATGAGCCCTTTGTCTGAGGAGCAGCTGGTAAAAATTTTTTCCCACATTGTAGGTTGTCTCTTAGCTCTGTTGGTGGTTTCTTTTGCAGTGCAGAAACTTTTTAATAAGATGAGATCCTGGTTGTTGATTCTTTGTGCTAGTTCCCATGCTACTGAGGATTTGTTCATAAAGTCTTCTCCTATGCCAATGTCTTCCAGAGTTCTGCCTAACTTATCCTCCAGCAAGTTTAGTGTTTCTTTTTTTAATATTTAGATCTTTAGTCCACTTCAATTTTAGTTTAGTGCATGGTGAAAGATAAGGGTCTAGTTTTAACCTTTGGCAGGTTGAGATCCAGTTTTTCCAACACCATTTGTTAAAGAGACTATCTTGCCTCCTGTGAGGATGGTTGGCTCCTTTGTCAAAGATGAGGTAGCTGAGTACATCTGCAGTTGTTTTTGTGTCTTCCAGTCTGTTCCACTGATCCTCAGGTCTGTTTCTTTGACAGTACCATGTTGTTTTTACCATGGTAGCTTTCTAGTATAGTTTTGAATTGGGAATTGTTATACCCACTGCCATATGTCTGTTGCCTAGGATGGCTTTTGCTATTCTAGGTCTCTTCTGGTTCCAAATGAATTTTTGGATGTTTTTTTTCTATTTCTGTGAAATATAGTGTTGAAATTTCAATTGGCATTGCATTGAATCTGTATAGCAGTTTTGGTAGTATGGCCCTTTTCACTATGTTGATGCTTCCTACCCAGGAGCAGGGGATATCTTTCCATTTTCTTATATCCTCCTCGATTTCTTTTTTCAGAGTGCTGTAGTTTTCAGAGTAGAGGTTAT